AGGCTTGGGAAAGAGAAGAAATAGTTATAAAAAGAAACAATTTTTTAAAGTAAAGTCTTTAAAAAGAGACAGTCATAGATCAAAGGAGTAAAGAAAAATAAGGCACATAAAGATGGTATATACACAAAAAGTCTGGGTTATGTATATTATTGTGTTTCCTTTGAATTTTTTAACTGTGAATGAGCTAAGTATAGAGAGATAGTTCATTATACAGGCTGCTAAGCTAAAAACTAACATATATACTTTAAAGGTATCTTGATATTAAAATTTGGGTCTAAGGATATATTGTTTTGGAAAAGTGGTTCTGTTTTTGTTTCCACAGAGGATGAGAACCTGTGGATTCCTTCCAGACTAATGTGGTTTGATGGAACAAAACCCCCTGTAGGTCTCCATGAGGCCCCAAAATACTTCACCCAACAAAAAGAGGGAAGCAGTTTGGAGAGAACTATGAACAAATCCCCAAATATTGTTTTTAAATGTTTGTTTACATTTAAAGGTGGATATGCTATAGAAATGAATACTTTGAACTGGTATGGATCTTGGTTTATTGGTACAAAATTAAAGTCAGTTTTGTTATATGTATATATCTGCTCTTGATTAAGGTATTGTGTTTGTGCAGCTCATTTAAAAAGTAATGTTTAATTTTAAATGCAGGTTAATAGATACTCATCTATAACAGTCAAGCTTGTAGTCATGTTAGCTAGGTTTTCTAGATGTACAGAGATATATTTCAGATGGATAGGCATTATTCAACTCTTTCAAAGACCTGCAAAATATAGCATTTAAAATGTTTTAAGAACTTAAGTCTTTCCATGACAATGACACACATCTGCTCCTGGAAGCACCAATTACTTCAGAGAGGTTGATGGGCATTGAAGAAACTCGTTATGGAATTTGCCTTCAAAGTGACAAGGCTAGCCATTTGGGCAGGAAACTGCTCTTGCCTGGACTGCTTGATGGTATGCTGTATGACCTGGACATGCAGGACCCACAGAAAAATGACTGCTGAAGTTGCCTAAAGAAGGTGAGATGGTCCTGCAGAACACAGAAGAAAGTAACTGACAAACTGCCAATATAGGCAAAACTGTCTTTGAAATTTCCTGCTTCATGGAAAAGTCTGCTGGATACTATGGGCCTGTAGGCTGAAGATGGGTGACCACAATATTACAGAAGAACTTTGGGTGATGTCTCTGTCAGTTCTAGAGTTTTGGAAGTTGCTTACTATGTATTTCCTGTTTACTTAGGTAATATTATAATCTTCTGGGATCTTTGAAGAGTTGAAGACAGATAGTTAAAGTTTTCCTTAGTTATGATAAAAGATACATTTGATGTAAAACTTTAGACTCACAAAGACAGGATAAATGATAGAGTATTTTCTTTAATTTACCAAATATAAATATACTAAATATTGCAACTATAGTTCTTGCTTGATAACTGTTTTGTGTATGTAATTTTATTATGTTAAAGTTAAAAACCTTCCTTTTTAAATGTAAAAGAAAGGGGAGATGATGTGGAATATCCTTCTATATATGTGTTGCTTTTATTGGTTAATGAATAAAGCTCCTTTGGCCTATGGCAGGGTAGAATATAACCAGGCTGGAAGGGATATAGAAAGAGAGAAGAGAAAGTCAAGGAGACACCATGTAACTGCTGAAGGAGAAAGGTGCCAGCTGCCAGCCAGAACCTTACTAGTAGGTCACAACCTCATGGTGACGCACAGATTAATAGAAATGGGTTCATTTAAGATGTAAGAGTCAGCTAGAAATATACCTAAGCTATTGGCCAAATAGTGTTTTAATTAATATAGTTTCTGCGCGATTATTTTGGGTCTGGGAAACCAGGAACAAACGAGCAGTCTCCGTCTAAAAATATGTTTTCCAGGACTCACTGACATCTAAAAAATTCTTATCCTTACCTATTATTATACTTGTAATTTCATTGTTTATTGCTTATTTATTTGAAGTCCAACAATAAAGCTTATATGGTAACTTTACAAATCAAGTAAAGGGCTGGTGAGATGGTGCAGTGGGTAAAGGATCCTGCAGCAAGCCAGGGCACTTGAGTTCCATCCAGGGACTTTCTCAAAAGGTGGGAGGAGAGAGCCACATGCACAAATTTGTCCTCTGACCTGCACATGTATACTGTGATATGCACTCCTACTTTCTGCTACACACACACACACACACACACACACACACACACACACACAAATAATTTTAAAGAAAATCAGGTACTACAGTAGCATATTGCCACATGCTCAACATGTCTGTGTCTTTGAAGAAATGGCTTGTGTGTATTGACACACGAGGTTAACCACTGAGGGTTCTGCAAATACAAATTCCAGTAAAACTGAACAGAAGGTCATGTTGACAAGAAGTGAGAAAGGGGTGCCAGGGAGGAGTCAGAGCTTATGTTTGTTGTGATCTCAGCAGCCACTCAGATGTGAATCAGTCTCTGGTGGGGGCAAGTCCAAAAAGCCCCTTCTCAAGTTATGCGACCATATGCCGATGCTTACTAAGTTTAGTTTCTATCCACCTGATACAGAACAATCCCATGTATGTCAAAGTGTTCAACATAGGACTAAAGTCACAGGAGAAGCTAGAGAATAGATGGAGAAGGGTCTTAACTATGCTCCATCCTGGTTACAGGATGTCTGTAATGATCTAGTCAAACCTCCCCCTAAGGACAGTGGTCCGCACTGGAGGGTAAAGGAGCGAGAGAAAGCTTTCTTTTTTTAAAAGTTATTTTTAATATCATGCTATGGATACTTAATCCCATAAAACAGTTGAGGTGATGACCTTAGATGAATGAACATGCTTTTAAAGGCACATCATGTAAATAATCAGGAGGATATAAATTAGAGTGAACCATAAGGCTGACTCAAGCCTGTAAGCATGCATATGTATGTACGAAGGGAAGCCCAATCAACAGGCTAGGGGGCTCTGTGCTAAACCTCGAGAGTGATTGTCTCTAAGTGGTAGTGGTAATGTCTTATATACAGGACGTCATGCTCACCAAATTGTACATGTATATACACTATCACAAAATAAATAAAATAGCTTTCAAAAGTGCAACCACAGCACCTCATGGCTGTTTCATACATGTCCACTCTTGTTATTTTGAACTTTTAATGGATTTGTTTGTTCTTATTTGTGGTTGGATGTGTGTATGCATGTGTATAAGAGTGCCCACACAGTCCAGAAGAGGGCTTCAGATCCTGTAGAACTGGAGTGACAGATCTTGGCGAGCCTCCCAGTGTGATTACTAGGAAGCAGAGGAGCAGTCAGCACTCTTAACTGCTGAGCCATATCTCCAGCCCTATTTTGATTTTGTTTTAAAATTCCTGGTTTTCCTTTTACTTTCTCATGACAAGTTATGATACATTCAGTGACATCTCCTAATGGTGCCTCCGAGGCATGTGTGGGCTACTGTTAATTCTCAATGTGGAGGAGAGAGAGAGAGAGGGAGAGAGAGAGAGAGAGAGAGAGAGAGAGAGAGAGAGAGAGAGAGAGAGAGAGAGAGAGACTTTTATTAAGCGAAGTCTTCTCCTTCACAAACCTCTCTGTTTATATAAGAAATAGAAAGTGTTGAGCAGGCACTTGAAGGAGAGGAACTGCTCCAACAGGGACAGAGGAGGAAGAACGTTTGAAGGATGCTGAGACCCAGTTTCACAGCTGTGCCACTTGGTGCAAAGACATGAGAATAAGTTGGACGCAATTGATCAATTTAGCTCCTGTGTTAACTAGGCCAGCAGGGGTCACCAGATACACTTAGGAAAGCACCATTGGCTGGGCGCCTTGAGGCTTGAAAAACTCACCTGTATCTCCAGGGTGATTCTGGACATTTTTGTTTGTTTGTTTTGTTGGCTTTTGTTTGCTTGTTTGTTTTTCAGACAGGGTTTCTCTGTGTAGCCCTGGCTGTCCTGGAACTCACTTTGTAGAGCAGGCTGGCATTGAATGCAAAGATCCACCTGTGTCTGCATACCAAGTGCTGGAATTGAAGGCATGTACCACCATTCCTGGCTGATTCTGGACATGTTTATGAACCACTTAGTGTGTGCACTAGTCTAGCAGTCCAGGACATTTTCTGTTTTGTTTTTGTTTGTTTCTTTTCTTTTTTTTTTTTAATTGCACATCACTCCTTTATTATACTGATCTGGAAAAGAAGATTTAGTATGCCCAAAACAAGTTCTGGACCCACATGGAAGGGTCAAGCAGCTGGAACATGATTCAGACAGCGAAAGACAAAACCCTGGACATGATCAAGGGGCACTTCACCTCTACAAGACAAGGCTGAGGGATCCTAACACATAGAGACACTCCTGTCCCTTGAGGACAAGGAGTTTATTCCACTTGATATGAGGAATGGCTTATTTTCTGGTGACCACATCGACCATTTCAGTCACCACTAGAAACCTCAGAAAGGTTTTTGTGTGCCGATAAATATATATGTACTTTTGTTTTTGTAAAAGTAAATGTAACACATAGACTTGACAGGATTGATCCCAACCTTCAGGGGCCAGCAGCTCCTTTAGGTTCAGAGAGGAAGGTAGTTCATCTTTTAAATGCAGGCTACTTTCACCTTCCACTGGAATGACTACAGCCCCTACCTAACTGCAGAAGAGTGCAGGACAGGCTTCACCCTGGTCAGGCCACAGCATGGTTCCTCCCTGACCTCCTAAAGCAGACCCTTGTAAACAAAGGACTAAGAAAACTGTAATTACTACCTCTCAATTCTCCAGGGAAGAGGATGTGGACCAAGAACCTGGATGTGGACCAAGAACCTGGATGTGGACCAAGAACCTGCACCCTAGAGGTGTTACTCTGACTAGATTCTATGAAGGGAGTGGGTGCAGGGGATAAAATACTAAAACAAAATGGGAGCCACTGGTCCCCATCTGCGGCTACAACTTAAACTTAAGATCCTAAACATGGAGTCGGTGATGGGTGCTGGGAAGGCCGCAGGAGGCAGAGACAGGCAGGGAAGAGGGTCTCGGGGTAGAAGTCTGTCTGCGCGCCTTCACTTCTTGGCCTTGCCCTGCGTGGCCACAGCTTCCATGGCTTTCCGCACCGTCTCTTCATCTCCCAGGAACTGCATGGGTTTAACGGGCTTCAAGTTCTTGTCCAATTCATAGACAATGGGAATGCCAGTTGTCGGGTTCAGCTCCATGATGGCCTCTTCTGAGAGACCCTCCAGATGCTTGACGACCCCCCGAAGGCTGTTGCCATGGGCCGCAATCAGGACTCTCTTCCCATCTTTGACCTGGGGGACAATCTCTTCATTCCAGAAGGGCAGTGCTCTGGCAATAGTGTCCTTAAGGCTCTCACAGGACGGTAGCTGGTCCTCAGTAAGGTCTGCGTACCTGCGATCCTTACTGATGTTGCTGTAGAAGGGATGGTCAGGCTCCATTGGCGGTGGTGGGACATCGTAAGATCGCCTCCAGATCTTTACCTGTGCCTCACCATGCTTAGCAGCAGTTTCTGCTTTATTGAGACCAGTCAGACCCCCATAGTGTCGCTCATTGAGGCGCCAGGTCCTGACTACTGGCAGCCACATCTGGTCAATGGCATCCAGGACTGTCTGGAGGGTCCGGATTGCTCTCTTCTGCGCGGAGGTGAAGCAGATGTCGAATTCATAGCCAGCATCTCGCAACGCCTGTCGGCCGCGCTTCGCCTCCTCGTGGCCCACTGGGCTCAGGTCGGCGTCGTACCAGCCACTGAAGCGGTTCTCCAGGTTCCAGGGGCTCTCGCCGTGCCGGATAAGGACGAGCTTGTAGGCGGCCATGGCGATAGGCCTGTTTTTTTTTTTTTTCTTTTCTTTTCTTTTTTTGACAAGGTCTCTCTGGCCTTGAACTCAGGGATCCTCTTGTCTCTGCCAACCGTGCCCAGAGGCCCAGGATATTTTCACTAAGCAGTAGTTTCTGCTTCCATGCGAACATAGGGACTCTAATCTTGTGAAGTATAGATAAGTCATTTTGGATCAGAAAACACTATGTTTCTGGAAAAGATTATAAAATGCTAAGCAGTATCACCAGATAGAAGGGGGAAACCTGTGGAGGCCAGGAAGGAATGTCAGAGCTTATGTAAGTGGTGACGACGGCTTCCATTCTCACGGTAACAAAAGGAAAACCAGCATGCCTGGAACTCAAGTAACAATGAAAGTCAAGGGAAGACAAACAAGAGGAAGCAAAAAACAAATGGACCACAGAAAAACTGAGAGAGTGGGCTTTATCCAAGTCACTAACAGTATGACATTGGAAGAGAATTTTCTTTATAGAAAAGGTAACATTGAGAAGGACAGGGCAGGATGCGTCCAGTCAGAGGTTATAAAGCCTACGTTTCAGTGACAAATTCTATAGTGTAAAATATTGTCTCTCCTGAGGGAAGCATCATCTTCATGTTTTCAAAACTTTTAAAGTAAGATATTTAGCGTTTGAATGTTAAGATTTCAATTTTCCAATGTGACATAGCTCTATATTTCATTTCCATGTTGTCATTTGTTCGATATGTGCCCTTTACAACACATCTGCCGGGGTTGTGATGACGAAATCAAGAGTGCAATGCCAGGCTCTGTGAATAGAAGCCGTGCTATTGTGGGTTTTCTAGTATAGCATGTAAAGCAGATGCTGATGAAATAAATGAATGGCCTTGGATTAGTTACTTCTGTAACCAAACATGGGATGGAAACAGGTGAAGGGAGGAGGGGCTGATTTTCACCTCTGGTCCTACAGCTGACAGTACAGCATGACAGGAAGGCATGGTCCTTGGTTCACAGTGAGGTCAGGAACACAGAATGGGGGATGCAGCAAGGGACCAGGGCAACGTATTATGAGGGCTAAATTTAAGTTTTAATTACTATGCTTGACAGACCTATAAAACAAAAATGCCTCCAATCAGCAACCCTCACTTACCTGAGGACAGATTACTTTCTGGAATCCCAGGGGCTATTTGTGTAAGAACACAAGCCACATGTTTTCACTTCTATAGACAAGGTTGGTTGCCCAAACTGTACTGGATGTGCTTGCTCAAATGTAGGTGAAGGTTACATAGGTAGGAAGTACATCAGGATGTATTCTTGCCCTGTTTGTACAAAGGTGGGAAGTACTTAGTCTTGTTGGTTTTGCCTTTATACACACCTGATTAACATAATTCACAGGTATTCTCTGAAAATCCTGGGTATGGACCTGGCCAGTGTCCATTGTCCTGGCCAGTATACATCAAATTTGGCTCAGAAACTGTGGTAGTGGTGTTATTTTTTTTTATTTTTTATTGAAAAAAAATTCCGCCTCCTCCCAGCCTCCCATTTCCCTCCCCCTCCTCCCGCCCCTCTCCCCCTTTCCCCACTCCTCTCCCCCTCCATCTCCAGTCCGAAGAGCAGTTATTTTCCTTGAGCAAAATTAACATTTGTGGAGGCCCAGTAAGATCCAGAACATCCACCCAAATTCTACAGCCAGATCTTTACTCTGGAATTCTGCAATGAATTTCGCCCTCAGGAGACGTCCAGGGCTCTGAGGTATGCTTTCAGTTCTCGTAGACAGGATGTGAATTGCTGTGCTGAGAAAGCAACAGGCATCTAGAGAGCCCTCTCCTGGTAAGCTATAGTGTGGTTCTGTTCTGAGGGATCCCAATCTGGGGTATGGGTGGGTTTTACAGACCTGAATACTCTCCTGTCAAGGGCAGTGAGACATTGCTCATCCACACGGTTCTGCTTGTTTGGAAAGTTTTACCTTCTTTAGGCAACTACAGCAGTCATTTCTCTGTGGGTCCTGCATGTCCAGTTTATACAGCATACCATCAAACAGTCTGGGAAATAGCAGTTTCTTGCCCAAATGGCTAGCCAACTCCATAAAGAGCCTCTTCAATACTTATCTTCTTCTTGAAGTAATTGGCGCTACCAGGAGCAGATGTGTCTCACTGTCATAAAAAAATATAAGTTCCTAAAACATTTTAATTGCTATATTATAAAGGTCTCTGGACAGTTTGAAGAATAACTATCCATCTGAAATATATCTCTGTGCATCTAGAAAACCTAACTAACATGGCTATAAACTTGATTATTATAGATGAGTATCTATTAACCTGTATTTCTTAATTATACATTACATTTTTTAGATTTTTTTATTATTAATTATTTATTAAAGATTTCTGCCTCCTCCCCACCACCGCCTCCCATTTCCCCTCCCTCCCCGGGTCAAGTCCCCCTCCCTCATCAGCCCAAAGAGCAATCAGGGTTCCCTGCCCTGTGGGAAGTCCAAGGACCACCCACCTCCATCCAGGTCTAGTAAGGTGAGCATCCAAACTGCCTAGGCTCCCACAAAGCCAGTACGTGCAGTAGGATCAAAAACCCATTGCCATTGTTCTTGAGTTCTCAGTAGTCCTCATTGTCCACTATGTTCAGCGAGTCTGGTTTTATCCCAGGCTTTTTCAGACACGGGCCAGCTGGTCTTGGTGAGTTCCCAATAGAACATCCTCATTGTCTCAGTGTGTGGGTGCACCTCTCGTGGTCCTGAGTTCCTTGCTTGTGTTCTCTCTCCATCTGCTTGGTATTGGCATAAAAACAGAGAAGTCGACCAATGGAATTGAATAGAAGACCCTGACTTTAACCCACAAACCTATGAACACCTGATTTTCGATAAAGGAGCTAAAAGTATACAATGGAAAAAAGAGAGCATCTTCAAAAATTGTGCTGGCAAAACTAGATGTCAACCTGTAGAAGAATGAAAATAGACCCATATCTATCACCATGCACAAAACTCAAGTCCAAATGGATTAAAGACCTCAATATCAGTCTGAACACACTGAACCTGATAGAAGAGAAAGTGGGAAGTACTCTACAACACATGGGCACAGAAGACCACTTCCTACGTATAACCCCAGCAACACAGACACTAAGAGTATCATTGAATAAATGGGACCTCCTGAGACTGAAAAGCTTCTGTAAAGCAAAAGACACTGTCACTAAGACAAAAAAGAAACCCACTGACTGGGAGAAGATCTTCACCAACCCCACAACTGACAAAGGTCTGATCTCCAAAATATATAAAGAACTCAAGAAACTAGACTGTAAAAGGCTAATCAACCCAATTATAAAATGGAGCACTGAGCTGAACAGAGAATTCTCAACAAGAGAAGTTCAAATGGCCAAAAGACACTTAAGATCATGCTCAACTTCCTTAGTGATCAGGGAAATACATTACATTTTTTTAATAAACTGTACAAACACAATACCTTAATCAAGAGCAGATATATACATATAACAAAATTGACCTTAAATTTGTATCAATAAACCAAGATCTATACCAATGAAAAGTATTAATCTCTATATCATATCCCCCTTTAAATGTAAACAAACATGTATAAACAATCATCTAGAGAATTTGGACATAATTCTCTCCAAACTGCTTCTTGCATTTTGCTGGGTGAAGTAATTTTTGGAGGTGTTTGGTCTTGGTTCATCAAACCATGTTAGTCTGGATGGAATCCACATGTTCTCATTCTCTGTGGAAACAAAAGGAGAACCCTTTTTTCAAAGCAACATATCCTTAGTTCCATATTTTAAAATTAAGATACCTTTAAAATATATATGTTGGTTTAGCTTAGCAGCCTGTATAATAGAATGTCTCTCTGTACTTAGCTCATTCACAGTCAAAAAAGCCAAAGAAAACACAATAATATCCATAATCCATAGTCTTTGTGTATATATTCATCTTTATGTGGTTTTTTCTTTATTCCATTAATCTATGACTGTCTATACTCTGTCTCTTTAAAGACTTTGTTTTATTTTTTGAAACTATTATTTCCATTTATAACTGTCTATACTCTTTTTCTTCTCTTTCCCAAGCCTACATACATTTTTCCAACACTGTGACCTATTTTGACCATTTTGAGATCTTTATTTTTTTTTAATCTGAATCTGTTTTCTTTTCTTTTTTTTTTATGTGTCTGTAATCCTTTTCTGACCAGGACCACTTTTTAAAACACTAAGCAGAGCAGCTAGGACTAAGTATGCTTTACCTTTTGGCTCCACCCAGTCCAACATGGCGGAGGCATGTTTAGTGCCAGCTCAGGGAGTCATGCTACAGCCTCATTTCCAGGCACGTAGTAGGTCTATGTTACCATTATGCAAGTTGTAGCACTCTGCTCAAAAACCTCATTTAAATGTTTTCTAGCCAGGCCTCTCAAAGAGCTAGAGCCATCTGTGATGGTGAATCAGGAAGCCACTGTTTTTTTTAAAGAAGTCATGCGGTTTTTACTGCATCTCCTTTGCAAACAGATCCTGTCTGAAAAAAAAAAAAATGCTGTTATCAAGAGACTGAGTTTGGCACCCATTTTGTAGGTCTAAAAGCCTTTTTTTTTTAAATGAAAAAAGCTTTCTTAGATTTTATGTGGAATTCTTGCCCCACGTTGGCATGCCTATCTGTTGGCAATGGCTGCTCATTCTCTCACAGCTTCCCAGACCCAAAATAATCACACAGAGACTGTATTAATTAAATCACTGCTTGGCCTATTAGCTCTAGCTTTTTATTGGATAACTCTTACATCTTAAATTAACTCATTTCGGTTAATCTGTGGATTGCAACATCACTGTGGCTTACTGGCAAGGTTCCAGTGTGCCTATCTCTGGTGGCTACATAGCTTCTCTCTGACTACTCTCTCTCTATATTTCTTTCAGTCTGGCACTACTCTGTTAAGCCGTTGGCTGAAAGCAGCTTCTTTATTAACCAATAAAAGCAACACATAGATAGAAGGACTTCCCACACCAATTGCTTGTGTCACTTAGAGTTC